AGATTGTGCTATAATTGCTATCGCAATTATACTGTTTGCATGATAACACAAAATTTTTAATGTGTCCAAACGTGTGTGACGGATGCCTGTAAAGCTGGCTTTTTCTATATAGGACACAATGTGCGGAAAAGTCTTCTTCTTTTACCAAAAGGGGTTTACGTTTACTGTGGCACGCCCTGAGAGGGAAGATTAAACGGCCGTGACTGTGACAATGTTAGGCGTTCTCACAAGTATACAACATTTATTAACACGAAGTTGATTAATGCGGGGTCCACCAAGACTTCATTGACGTATTTCTGCTATTTTCTGCAACTCATAAAAGGTAGGCTTACTGTATAAGGCTTCTGCAGAGTAACTCAAACGAAAAGTGCGGCTTAGCGCCACCGCAAATTGAGTAGGCGTGATAAAAGAATAGAAGAAAGACGAGTTGGAGGTTTGAATCAACGTGTAAAGCTAGCGTTCGGACGTCTTTGACCTCTCGAGACTAGAGTGCTTTCACGTGCGCTTCGCCTTCGGAGGCGGCGTGCACATGGAGGCTCTCTACACTCGAGACCATTTGTGACGACTGCTTCGGGTCAGAACCTCCTATAGAAGAGGCGTTTTTTGGTCGAATCAATTAGGTTTAAAAAAATATGCTGGAGTGAAAGCTCCCGCGAATCCTTGCCAGCAAAACTCATGCGAGCTTCTGCCTTCTAAATGTTTCGGAAACAAGCTATTTTCTGGTGGTATACCCACGAAGAGATCAACAGGCCGTGATCGGTTGGTGCAAACGGTACGTTAATCACAAGATAGAATTTACTTGTTCCCGGTGAAATAATGCATACGGTTATTGGTGACTTGACGTCCAATAAATTTTGCCGAGAGTTCGAGGCTTAATAAGGAAAACTAGTAACCCAACACACTTAGAGCGGTATCGTACCCGAAAACGTTGCCACATTAAATTCGTCGGGTGTGCCAGGAAAACGATCCGTTTCGTTCACCAAACGCAGACAGCTTATCATTCCCCTGCTAAGATGGCTGCCCCAGCCACCATATTTTGGTAGGCGCGGCTTCACTCCTGGGCAATAATTTCCACTACAACAACTATTTTAGCACCTCTTTGGGGCGAATCGACCGAGCCAGCCTAACCAATGTCAAAGCATTTGGATAAACGCACGACCCCATTCTAAGGAAAGCGAGCAATAAGCACGCCCATCTTTAATGCTAACTTCGAGCACAACCTAGCGTCACCAAGGCAATAACATTGTGACGGCTTAGCCGGCCAACTAAGCGCTGCAGGTGGACAGAACTGGTGAGATATACGATCACTGAGAACTTGAAAATGTGTCGCAAAATTTTGTAAAGGTGATAGCGTATACTGTTGCGCTACCTGAAGTCAGTGCGATATGGCCACAAAAAGCAACGAAGAAGACTGGCTCTATGAAGACAGATGAGGTCGAAGAAAGTGTTTGCGGGCATTGGAATTCTCTATATGACCAATTAATCCATTTTCCTTTATCTAACTTCTAAGTCCCCCCCCCCCCCCCCTTTATTAACCGCAGTTTTAATGGGCGATCCCCCGTTGTGGGTATACGAGCTAAGCATAGGCACGAGCAAGCAAGCAAGGCACGCGCCAGCTGTGCACGCGGCGACGACGAAGCAGAAGAAGACGGCTGGCGCCCCGGTCTGCCGCGCTGTATAATTCCCAACGTGGGTAGGGCGCCACGGATACAAGGTTTTATTCTATCCAGTTGATTGATTCCTCGACCAGCTTCACGATTCTCCGGTCCACACTCAGCTCGCTCTTAAAGTCCACCCTAAACTTGCTGGTGGGAAGCCCTTCCGGAAGCTCGACGAACGCCATGCACGCTCCTCAAGCTGCTTCGGGGGCTGACAACGCGAACGAACGTAAGTGGAACGCGGATCTCCCTGCTGTCTTTAGTGTGGGGGCCCATTACAGCAGCAGAATCTTTGAGTTGTGTCTTACTTCCAGTAGTATTTAAAAAAAAAAAAACGACAGGAAGGGGAAGATGGAAGCTTGCGATGAAAAAAAAAAAAAATCCGTAAACAGGGGTTGTGTCGAGCCGACGTTTCGACAAGAGAACTTGTCTTCCTCAAGGCTAGAACAGAAGAAAAAAATCCCTAAACAGGCGTTTTGTGGAGCCGACGTTTCGACAAGAGAATGTGTCTTCCTCAAGGCTAGAACAGAAGAAAAAAATCCGTAAACAGGCGTTGTGTGGAGCCTACGTTTCGACAAGAGAACGTGTCTTCCTCAAGGCTAGAACAAAAGAAAAAATCCGTAAACAGGGGTTGTGTCGAGCCGACGTTTCGACAAGAGAACTTGTCTTCCTCAAGGCTAGAACAGAAGAAAAAATCCGTAAACAGTGGTTGTGCTGAGCCGACGTTTCGACCAGAAAACTTATCTTCCTCAAGGATAGAACAGAAGAAAAAAAATCTGTAGACAGGGGTTGCGTCGAGCCGACGTCGGTTCGACACAACTCCTCTTCACGGATTTTTTTTTCATTCTGGTAGTTTGTCACATATATACTGTTTTGTGGCAGGGGCGTAGGCGGGATTTTTTTTTTTCGGGGGGAGGGGGTACCTCCTTTATCTGAAGGGAGGGGACAGGTAGATGGTCATATTGTGGTACGTTTTTTTATGGCGAAACAGTTTCGAAGGGCAGGGGCCCAGTGGGCCACCCCTTTGCTACTCCCCTGTTTTGTAGAGAACCACCGCTGCCCGTCTGTATTTTCAGCCATTTTCAATTCCTCGGTGCCTGGCTGGGCTTGAATCATTTTATTATGGGCCTAACCAACAGTACCTCATTATGTTCGTGAATAGCGTATTGAAAACCACCAATTGCTTTCCGATGCGTATTAGTGCAATACTGTCATTCTCAGACCCCAATGCAGTCATTGGTTAGTGTTCCTGCTCATGGTGATGTTTAGAAATTTAAATACACTTATGTAATCGGATCGTTTACCATCTTGTTGTGCCAGCACCGGTCGCGTACTCTATTACGTACACGCGCGACAAGATGCGAGCGAGTTTCTTCGTGGTGGCGGTTGTTATGAGGCGTTAAAATATCCAGCTCCAGGAAGTGGATCTATCATAGTGGTGGACACAGGGAAGCGGCTCAAATACTCTGGGACATGTTGGAGCTCTTAATGAACAGTGTATTAGGGACAGCAGTATGAAGCGTCGTCTCTTGAGTGGTCTCGTGGGAAAGCGCTAGGTGTTCCATTTCCGAGATATGCGCTTGGGGGAACCCGACCACCCATCATGGTAACTCCAGTTTGTAAATTACCAGTTATGAACAAGTTCGAAAAAACATTGTTCTTGAGTGAATCGAAATGCCTGGTCCTGTCTGAACAAGGACACGTCTCTTTTTGCGTGAAGACGCGACTTCCTTTTTGCGTGTTGTTTTTTCCTTTAAGAGAGAGAGGCACACAAAGTAAGCTTACCATCGTTAAAATAGAAAATTTCATGATTGTTAGTTTTCTATGCTCGGTGCAGTTTAATTTATGTTCATGGTTCATTTATATGTGGTTAATTTTCTCGATAATACGCTGCCGCTGACTTGGTCTGAGTAGAGCTTGCGATGTGAGGTGGTACGTGGTTGGCAGGGGGCGAGTCCACACCTGCCTTATACCATAATATAGGCACACAGCGACGAGTACGCATTGTTTGTATACTATAACAAGTTTGTTATAATACAATTATTTTGGCAGTTATGCGTGCTGTAATTGTGGTATGCTTTATGAGGCAAGTCGTAGCGGAGGGCTCCGAAAATGTCAACCACCTGAACACACCTAAATCCAAGTAAACAGGCGCGTTATGGGTCGATGATGTGATCTCACAAAGATAACTGAATGTCAGATAATATACGATGCCTGAACTCGTACGAAAAACTTTCGCAAGACCTTGCGGGTAAGAAAGTCTTAACACAGCATGAGTCAAGGGTGAACCCGTGAAGTATTTCTGAGCAAGACATGCTGCGAGTTTTTGAATCTCGCGCTTAAAATGACCCTCGCGACCTACAGCGGTGATAGCTGGAACAATTCCGCGCCCAGAACGACGCATTGTTTGAAAAGACGCAAAAAATATCAAACTACATAAACAATTGCAAAATGCATTGCCTTTAAAGTTTTTACTATTACATAGTAGAATAGTTAGCGCATCACAGTCGACTGATGCGACACTCTGAGATGCTCGCCGGATAGTCGCCAGTCTCTGTGTGCCAGCCGTGTTTATTGCTGTCCGTTTCTTGCGATCTCGCATTTAGAGGTCACGTTTAGTGGACTGTTTATCGCCCTTACTGTTGACCGTGTTACACGGAGGCAGTAGGTGGGCTTATATAATTCAGCGGTGTCCGCCTACTTCTCGATTTTTTGCCCCATTGCGGGGTGTGCCGCGTCGGTGTCTTCTCACGTGACGTCTGCTGCTGCCGTCTCCGCTACCTGTCGCAAAACATGTCTCTGAGCGCGGATATCGGCTCCGTTCTGACGGGTTTGCCCGATGATTTCGAAAAAGGAGGTTCGTAATTCTTCTCTTCTAGACGATGATTATCGCCGGTGCGTTCGTTTCCGTTTGACGAGCGCCGTCTTGCCGTGCTGCTGTCGGCAATGCAACCGCGAATAGGTGCATGAACGCTCCGTTCTGTATCTGCGATTGTTTCGTTCGCGTGATATTCGCTGTCGCTAAACGCCGGGAACATGTTCGCTTTCATATTATGTCTGTCGTCCACTCTACACACACTAAATAAATCGTTTTATCGTGTTTTGCGAACTCTTGATTTCCACCTCAACTTGGTTTCGGTACATAGGTTACTTTCTGTTACGTTACAGTTATGTTTTTGGTAGCTGCGGGACATTTGTAGACATACTGTCAGTGTCTGATTCTACATAGTTTGTTGCTACAGTTTGTCGCGCTTCCAAACCTCCAATGTGCAATCGCGAGTTTCCTTTGGCGTAAGCGAGCTGGTACTATCTTAAAACCGACTTCTGATTATTTCTCTTTAGGTGTGGTGGCTGCAACCAGCGTTCTTCATCAAAGAGCAAATGAAATACGGCAACAAAGGGTCAATTGGCAGTCCTACCTACAGTGAGTAAAATATGACACAGTTTCGATTTAATACAATGTGTGTCGGCAAGAGAAGATCCCATGCACACCTTGGTAATAGGCTGACGTCCTTGGAATAGGTGGCAAGTCACCGTAGTTTCATTATTGTTCGCAGTTGCGGCGTGAGCCATGTTGCATGGACCAGCGCAAATAATGCACGACGTATGTGTTTGTTTCAGACAAAACACTAGAATATGTCGAATTGCATATGGTGAACCAGCAATTTCAATATGTAGCAAAGTAAATAGCTCTAGCCTCTTCTCAGTAATGCAAAAGAGCATGCATTGAAATTCATTCCTAATTAAACTATATTAATACTACAGGATCTCCAGATAGTCAAGGTTGCAGCTGGATTTCAAGTGGGTCCACTACAACTGGTTATGGTGCCATTTGGTTTACCGTCAGCTTCCAAGCGGAACCAGTTGCTTCTATTGTTGGGACTAGTCGGTTTACAGCTGGAACCAGGTGATCTCAGTCACTAGTTGAAGCCAGTTGGATTCCCAGTTGCACATTTTACATGGGCCGTGCACGCAGTTTTCAATAAAATGTGCATAGTTTTTATGTGAGTTAGCCTGCCTGCATGGCTGGCTAGATGAGCGAAGTGCCACGAGAAACAGATCTTGGCGAGCCAGATCTGCTGACTTGGCTTCCCATTGTGTGAAAATAAATGTGGGAAAACTTATGATTACTTGCAAATAGTTTCAGTACATGCTTGCTGCAGTATTGCTGGTTGGTGTTGCTATGTAGCGCAGCAGTTTTGGATGTACCTGTATTAGTTTAGAGTTTTCAGTGGTTTTAGAAAATGTTAAAAACAGACATTTCACCATGTATGCAGTATATCAGTATAAAAGTGGTCTAAAAGGGTGAATAGATCCTACATATCTATTGAGCTCCTGTAAACATTAGGCCACCACAGCAACTATTGAATGCTGGCCAATGACAATTTGGTTAAATTGTAACTTCATGAACTTTCTTGTGCCCCACTACTGCTCCCACACTACTGTCACGTTATTAAAATCACAGTTTTCTAAAATTAACTAGAGGGGCTCTGGCACTGCGATCGTTCAGCTATCATGAGAACGATGGGTAGTACACGGATTTGCCTTGTCTTTGTACTTGCAGGTGGCAAATTGCACTTGTGGCTTCGATTATTGCTGGTTTCAGTTTTGTTTTGAAGAAAAAAAAGAACTCGTTTGAACTTCGTGACCTGATTTGAAATATAGTAAGCCACTGCTGAAAATTTGCAGATTGTTGTTTCATGACAAAGCAGCTTCAAGCCACGCAAAGCCAAAAGAAACGTAAAGCATGAAAACTAGGCAAATCTGTGTATTCCCCTTAGTTCCCATGATCACTGCAGTGCCATGCGTTGCAGCTCCCATAGACACTAGTGCCTAAGTTCCCTCTAGCGTAAATTTAGGAAACTATGATTAAGATGACACGTCATTTCATACAACAGTGATCAACCATTTTTGTCTGCACATGTGGTGCACATAGCCTTTGCTGTGTCCTTAGTGTGTCTTGGGTAAAGCAAGTGCACTGGTTCTTCACACAAAATACATGACGTTGCATGCCATATCATCATGTGTACATTGTATCTGGCTACATCATTCATCTTGCAGGAGCCAGATGATAACGCAAGAGGACTACAACTTCATCGTTGCGCTGGACCAGTCGACAACACCTGAGAGCAGGGCCAACCTGCTCAAACAGCAGCGGCTGCAGTCAGCCAAGACCTTCTTCAACATGCTGGGTCACATCTCAAGAGACCAGACCATCCAGTACATCCTCATCTTGATTGATGAGATGCTTCAGGTAGTTCTTGTCGCAGACTTCTACCGTATTTACTCGATTCTACCGCGCCCTCGATTGTAACGTGCACCCGGTTTCCACGACGAAAAAAAAAAAGTAAGACATCGATTGCAATGTGCACCCATTTTTCTCGTTGGCCAGCACCATCACACCACTCGAAAAAACGACTCCTTTCGGGAGCGTCTTCCATTTAAATATGAGGTACGGGGGAAGCTTGTGCCCATCTGATGTGTAACACAGCATTGCCGTCACTGTAGTTTTACCGTGGACCGATGTCAGCACGCGAACTTGCTTCGCCCCCTTCTTCTCGGCAGTTGTGGTGCCAGGCATGTCCAAGTAAAAAGGTGTCTGATCAGCATTCACGATTTGCCCAAGCAGGTAGCCGTTGTTGTGCCGCAAGTTTAGGACGAACCTCTGAAAACTGTGAAGCTTTTCATCGTACTCCTCCGGAAACTTTTCGCATATGCCCGTTCGCCTTCGGAGGAAAAAGCCTTTCCTCTTCATAAAGTTAGTTAGCCAGCACCTGCTCGCTTTAAACTGGCTCTACATTAGTTTCTAAGGCTAACTTCATAGCCCTCACTTGGAGCAGTTCTGTCGTCACGGGCCGCTGTGCCGCTCGCTGCTCAAGCACATACTCGCCGAGCAGCTCTTCAATTTGCGGAAACCGACCCTGCTGTGGTCCACTGAAGCCTTTGCATGAAGCTTTGCTGTCGACAATCTTCTGCTTTTGTTTCCGCCAGTCCCGCACGCAGGTTTCGGGAACTCTGAACGACCGCGATGCAGCCCGATTTCCGTCCGTTTCTGCACACGCGATGACTTTTCTTTTAAAAGCGGCACCGTGGTGCACTCAAGTTTTTGGTGTTGGCCCTTCCATGCCGTCGATGCTAATGCACTACAATATGATGAACTTTTCAGCACACGTACGAAGTGCCCCACATGGGAAACACATAGGCAGAAATGGCCGACGCACATAGGGGGCGGCCATTTTGGAAATGCTGATAGCAATAGAATGACCGTATTCATTTTTTTTTTTCGTACTTGATTCTAACGCGCATGCGATTTATGAACTCGCTTAACCGGGAAAAGGTGTGCGTTAGATTTGAGTAATTACGGTAATTTCCGGGCTTTAATCTCCTCACTCTTCTTTCTTGCATGAAGTGCTGTTATACTGCATACTAGTAGACTATTGTAGTGAGTAATGATTGTGGGCAACTGGTATGTTTACACGTTATGTGAACAATCTCAACAATAAAAGAAAGCTGTGTATGACCGCATGACTGGTTCTGGTTTTGGACTTGCACTGCACACATGCAGCATCACATCAGGCTTCTTAGATGACAAGAGTAGTAAAATAAATTGCAGTTTTGTTGCTGAAGCATTGCTCTTGGTCTTCACGTCACTTTTGATTTCTCTCGAGGAACCGGTTTATCTTTCGTCTGGCGAGGGCCTTTTCGTTTTACCTGCAAACATTACATGACCTTTTCACTTTGCAGGAGGACAAGTCAAGGGTGGAGATCTTCAAGGAGTATTGCCGCAAGAAAAAGGAGTCTGTCTGGACCCAGTTTCTGAACTTGCTGAATCGACCAGATGGCTTCATTGTCAACATGGTAGGCAGTGTGCAAGATACTGCAGCATGCGGATGATTTCAACTCATTGTAGTAACCCAGTGACTATGGCATTATGCGGCTAATATCAAGGTTTCAGATTTGATATTGACCATGATGCTACATTTTGATGAGGGCATTTTGTGGCACTGGTGAAGGTGTATTCTTCCTATTAGTATGGACACAGGTGTGGCAATGCTAAAACATTCTCTCTTGGTGCTGCTCATAGTGATTCGCAGACATATGAATAAGGGCATCTGTGGCTGAACTTCAACACATCACCTTCAAAGAAGTTTTCACGTGAAGGTTTGGCTCTCACCAGCACAAGTGCTTATCGCAAAATGAGAAGATCCGCCGTCTTGCCCGCCGCAGTTGTCTAGTGGTTGTGGTGCTTGACTGCTCACCAGAAGCTTTCAGAATCGAATCCCAGCTGCCGTGGCTGTAGGTCTATGGGGGACAAATGCTATAGGCACGTGTATTTAAATTTATGTTCACAATAAGGAACACCAGGTGGTCGAAATTTCTAGAGGCCTCCACTAAGGCGTCCCTCATAATCATACTCCGGTTTTGTGATGTTGAACTTCAACAATTGTGATTATACTTGCAGTATTTTTTTTTCCCAGCCTCGAATTCATGCGGCGATGTGGAAAAAAAATTAAACTTAATGCTCCTTCACATTCATCTTTGGGTAGTAAAGGGAATGTGTGGAAGCAAGTTTACAGCATCCATACTTGTGGTACACTGAGGAGATCCGCCTTTTTTCATTGGGCATATGCCATTAAGGTTTATTGTTACGGAAAGTGTGTTGCCGTTTAAGTCTAAATAAACATAATGTTGCATTTGATCTCGATGCTGCCAATTTGTTTGTAATTTTAATAATATATTTTTTTTTGTGAAACCAGACAAGTCGCATCATTGCCAAGATTGCTTGCTGGAGTCGAGAGCTGATGGAGGGTTCCGACTTGCAGCATTACCTCACCTGGCTCAAGGACCAACTTCGCATGCCGGTGGGTGCACTGATGTAAAACTTGTGGACTCATTGATTAACTGAAAAACTCCTATACTACACTTCCAGAATACGTTTAATGATCGAAATTGATGGTACATTGGACTGATTCCTACTGCACTCAGTCTTGGAGCCCTCCCGATAACAGAGCATTAGAATGCTCGCCCCAGCCAAATGTACGGCCCGTTCCCAGTAATGTCCAAATTGCCATGTGATCGAGATTGCCGATTCTCGGTCATACTCTTATATCAAAGGTGGCTGTGCTTTAGAGGGTTTCAAAATAGATCCTAGAATTCTGAATGAACCATGCAAAATGGTTCAGAGTGCTTTATATTATGAATCGAACTGTGCACCTAGGGGCACTTGAAGGTGACTACTCGAACATGCCCTTAGAATTTTTACCAAGAGAACTTCATCAATAAGCTCTAGTGTCGTGCACTGCAATGCTGCACCATCTGTCTCAGAACTTCAGCTGGGCTTTAGATAGTCTGATTTACTGGAACGTGTAGCCAAACTTCATACCAGATGCAGACCTTACGAACTGCATGTTTTGGAACTTGATAACATTGGGAATCCACCATTGCCTCACTGTGGAAAGCAAGAGCACTGTTCCCTTGTCAAGTCATACACAGCTTATTCTTACATTCTCACAGGCTTGATTAATTTTACTTGTTGCAAGCAAGTGTACTTCTCCAACTGTCAGAGTACTGTTATTGTGGTTACTACAAGATTACATTATCCACGGTCATATTCTTTTCTACACATCCGCACAAAAAAACATTGCCACATGACACTTCCAGGCACTGAGCTTCTATAAATGCAGTGCGTTATGTCATGAGCCACTTGTGTATTAAGCAGCAGGAGATGGAATATGTTTATATATAGTTGGATATTTACTATATGGAACTCTTTTGTTATGGCATCATCACAAATGTCATGCAAGTGGAGCATCAAGACAGTCGGGTACGCTACACAGTATGATACAGTAATTGTGGACTTGTTTTTTTAATTTTGCAGTTTTTCACCTTTTGTTTTGTTGGGAGCTTTTGGCATCATGCAGAGAACTACAACTGTTTGAACTGGCTGGCTGATACAGAAGGCCCAGAAAATTGTATTTTTGTGCTTTCTCTGGTATTATTTCAGCAGCATGACCAAAGGCACAGTGAGTTGGGGCTGGGCAAAAGCATGGCACCACATGTGCCATTTACCTGGATAATCTGCAGCATGGTGATTACATAATAAGCACTGTATATGTGCCTGCGTATGTGTGGGGGAGGACAGAGCATCACCATCTTGTTCTCTTGTTTTTTATGCTGTCTTGTGATACAGCGCATATGAATGGAAGGCCTAGTGTTAGAAAAAATTCACTTTTTTTAATTATCATCTATTCATGTCGTATAAACATTAAAGCCTTAAAACTTTATTTTAGCTCGTAAGTAGTTAGACCTGCTCAAACAGTACTTCAGTCAAATTGTTAAATTCTGCCTTTTGTGGGGTCTCGAATGAGGCAACAATGCTCTCTGAACACAGGGACACAGCAGACACGGTCGGAGCGCTCAGGCCGAATCAAACAAAACATTTAACTGCTTTTACAACGATGATATCGTCAGCTGAATCGCATACGTCACTAGTGACATGCTAAAAGGCAACCTTACACAATATTCCAATCCACTCAATCAAACATAAGAACAAACACAGGTGCATAGGCCTTTGTCAGGCATATGAAATGTCTTTAGCCTCAGTATCCTTTTTCTTGCATTTCAAGAAATAAAATAAAATTACTAATACCTGTTCTACTACAAGGTGGTATCCGCCCACACTCTACTCGCCATGAGCAGATCTACGTGAACTGGCCTGCGGCGTTGTACCCACGAACCCACTGTGGGAAGGCGATCATTCGCGCCAGCTGCCACACACTCTTCAATCTTTTCTGTCCATCTACCTACCTCGCCGTTAGACACCATTGCTAGCGCTACCCCGCTGGCCATAACGATGATGATGGTGAAGATCGCGTGCGAGCGCTGTGCCACCTCCCACTTGACGGCTGTTATTCGTAAATGCGGCTTATCCGCGAGGCACGTGTGTGCCGCGAGGTGCAAACAACTTTACGGGAGGTGGTAGCACCTTCACATATTATATACCTATCTTTGCTTGTTTTACTCATATTTCTTCCTCCTTATTGTACTCAGATTGTTAGCTAATTATGATGTTTACACATAGCTCTCTACTGTCCTTTCTTTGTTGCCTCCAGAACAACGACTACATCCAGTCTGTGGCCCGATGTCTGCAGATGATGCTGCGGATCAATGAGTACAAGCTAGCCTTTGTTGCCATTGACGGCATCTCAACGTATGTACAGGACAACTCACTGCTTTTAACAGCGTGGCTGTTTAGAGCTATTGGTTACTTATGCTCTGGTGTAATCATGAACCAGCACGTGCTCGCATCATTCTCTTTAAATTGAAGGTGTTTAAGATGATGTTAACTTGTGCGGCTGTTCTGCAATGCTCCTTAGGGGGGTATGCATCACAAGAATTGCGCAAGCCCCTCTACTGTGTACAGCAAGTGCTAGATTCAAATGAAAAATAACAAGTGGAAAAGAGAGAGAGGAAGAAAGTGATAGTAAGAAAAAGGAAGAAAAAAAGAAAAGGGAATAAAAGATAGAAGTGCATAGAAAGAGGTAGAAATAAACATGCAAGAAAGAGGTATAAAGAACAGCAAGACAGAAAGAGGAAGAGGGGGAAAAATATCAGTTTTAATGCAAGGTGAAGTAATGACTGGGATGGTAACAAACTAATATTGTATGAAGTGAGGCTAGCTGCTAAGTCTGTTAGGTCCATTGTCGCATAACTCTGCAGAATGCTGGTGTGAGGAAATATGGCTGCTCCAGGAAGAGAAGCAGTTCTCGTGCAGCCTCTTCGCGTCAAGAGCACAGCTCATGGATGGGTATGCAAGCAGTTTCCTGATGCCAGTCGTGACCGCACGCGCGCCAGCGATCCTGGAACTGGTTTGCCTATGTCTGTAAATATGCGTTACGCTGTACTTCGCGCTGTCAGATAATTTTATTATGTATCAGACTTGCCTAACCCGTGGCTAACGACACACAAGCTGGAAATCTTACCTAGCCTCTCATTACCAGGTACTATATCTATACTCCTTTTCTGGTGGTGTCTCTGCGTACTCGTGGGCATGGTGTCAACTGCGGCTGCACGATTATGGTGAGAATAGTTGCACAAAACCTCAGTTTCACTGTTGTGGCGAAGCAGTGAACATGGTAGCAGCAAATTGTAATGTTATATGAAGTAAGGCTGGCTGTCAACTCTTTTGGGTTCGATCTTGCGTAGCTCTACAAAATGCTGTTGTAGGATAATATGGCTGCTCCAGGTCTCTTTAAAAACATTGAGCACAGCAAGTAGAGGGGTGTACGAGCCGTGCGCCGATTCCCACTGAGATAGCGTGCGTGCCAGTGATCGCAATCACACTCTTATAATCAAAGTGCATTGTAGCTGCTTGAGCAACAAAGGCCCCCTCTCCTTCACTTCCTAGCGCCCTTGCATGCTCCTCCAAGATGGGCAGGGCATTTCCTCTCTTCTTCAGCAACAGTTGATCCCAGGCCTCGCACTTGTAGTGATGTTATTGCAAGAGCCCTTCTTGTCAAAGAGGTGGGCCGGCTCATTCCATCGCTACTTCAGCCACATTCGTCACCCCTGCTCACGTGCTTTTGCCCATAGGTAGAACATATGGTGCATGGGGGGATGTGACCGACTTGGACGCGTATGGAACATGAATGCTACGGTGACGGCAAAAACTGGTCGAGAGTGTCCATATATTCCTATGGTAATAAAAAGAGAGAGATAGAAAGTAATAGACAGAAGCAGACACAAAGAGATAGGAAAAAATGGAGCGAGACAGAAAGAGAAACAAAGAAATAAGAAGTAGCTGAGAGAGAATGAAATAGAAGACAGACCAATAAAGATAGAGAAAGCCCGAAAGAGAAAAAAATGGAGAAAAAAAATGAAAAAAAATAAATATAGAAGGAGGAAGAGGGAAAGAAATAGTCAAAGGAAAAGTAAAAAAAATATACAAGAAAAAGATGCAAAAAAACGAGAAAAAAAAAATTAAAGAAACGAGGGTCACCCAGCGATGCTCTGCCTTCAGGCTTGGCACCACTGCTGCAAAGCTGTCTTAATATAATGTTTTCCCAATATTTTCATATTTTAATTTGTGGTTTTCTTGTTTTACTTTAATTCTGTCGCGTAAGCATGTTGTCACTAGAGCTGTGCGAATAGCAAATCTCTGGGTGCAAAGCAAATTAAAATATTAAAGAATGATTGTGAATCGAATATTTTTCAACTAGTTCTCAAATTTATTTAATGTTTTTCGAATCCTCCATAGTAAAATTACAAAAAAAAGGTTGCCGACTATCTCTAAGTTGGGGCATTCTTATGAGACGGGAACGGGAAAGTTTTCTTTGGCTTGGTTGGTTAACAGCTGGAGGGATGGGGTTCCGTAGTTGTTTTGTCAAGGATGAGGCAATGCATAGACCGAATTGTATTTATTTACATGATGTGGTGCAACTAGTGTGGTGTCACAACACTTCACACGTGAAAGGAAAAGATGCTACTTTCTCCACTTCTCATTCTCGTCAACTTCAGTAAAGGCCCAGCTCATTTGGTGGACAAAGGCATGCTCCCTTCATATTTGGAGTTGCTAATCTGCTCTGTAGATGTCAATGTATAAGAACACATGAAATGTCTGTTGCTGGAAATCTTCACCAGATTTTTTTTTCTGGTCCGAAACAGCATTAATTAAAGCCCCCACTTCTGCCATGCAGGTTCGAGCAAACGCTTTCCAGAGTCTATCCGTTTATAATTGTAGTGGAGCTTTTAAGGCAGCTTTGGCACAATGCCAGAATGCGAGGCAGTAAAACATGTCAAGATATTGAAGAGGCTATTTAAACAGTGCTGCGCATCTGCATGTTGGAACCAGTGTTTTATTAAATCAATACATTTGCTACCGTAGCGGAGTTGTAAAGAGAGCTTTGCCACAACGTGAGAGTGTAATGGGGTGAGGCACATTGAAAATTTAAGGGCCCACTGTCAATCACTGTCTTGACTTCAGAAAGTTCTAATAGTAAAATTTCAGTGCGAATTGAATCAAATAGCAAACAATAATTGAAAAATATTCAAAATATTGAATACTCGCACACCCATATTTATGGAGGTTGCATTTGAAACCTTTCATTCATTCACAAAACTTTATTTGTGTCCTGAAGCCCGGTCTTTTCAGACAGAGGCGGGCCGCGTCCACATCGGTACCGTCAGGCCGAGCCTTGTGGCCTCATCGTGGACCTTCTAGACTGCCCATAGTTTGTCTTGATAAGACGCGCTTCGCACCATTGTCTTCCAGTAAAGCCATTGTTCTTCGGGGTCGGCGAGAGTCGCTGGACAGCTTGCCAGCATGTGTCTGATCGCAATGATGCCATCGCCAGCGTCACACTTGTCTTGAATTTCACTGTCAGGGAGAACTTTAAGTAGAAAATACAGAGTGGGGTAAGTTCGATTTGCAGTAAACATAGCGTGACTGCCTGGGCCCTGTTCAATTTTCTTGCGAAAATTCTTAAAATTTTGCATGTGTATATGCGTGCACACATACAAACATATACATCAGCATACATAAAATATGGCCAAACTCCCTCTCATCTTTTGAAAAAATGTCTGCCTACGTCCCTGCTTGGGTATGTTATCCTTGTGTTAAGCGACTTCCAGTGTTTTTTTGTCCTTCAATCAAGTTGGTGTCGGTGCTCTTCAGTTGAAAAAGCATGAATCTGCTATGAGGTTAAGCAGAACACTTATACAAACACTGCACGATGGTTAAGACACTACATACATAATACATTCATGCAATTTTATTTACACATATGTATTACATTGAAAAGACAAATTGGCAGTGTTTGCAGAACTGAAATTTGAAGTATGTGTATCTAATCTTTTCTACACTCAACATGTTCATGAAATGTACAAGCCTTGGGAAGCAGTAAAGAACAACAGAACGGGCTACTCGGATGCTTGCAACTGTTAGGACTAAGCGGCCAAGACGAAATATTTTGTAACGCCCCAACATTAAGCTCGAGATGTGACAATGCCTGCAGACTCGCTCTATCATGTCTCGTCAGTTAAACTATGTGTGTGGAACCAGTTGAAAAATATTTCTATTTAAAAAAAAAACATTTTTCCGTGGAGCGGCATAACTGCACTGATCAGGCTATTGGGCGAAATACGCTGAGGAAGCAGCGACAGGCAGGAGTTTTATCGTGACGTCTTGTTTTTCATTTTACAGCATTGTGACAGTGCTGGCTGGTCGTGTGAACTTCCAAATCCAGTACCAACTTACCTTCTGCCTCTGGGTCCTCACCTTCAATGTAGACTTGGCTAAACGGATGAGCAAGTAAGACCTATCAGCCTGTATATACGATTCGGTGATGTGGTGGTGTTCATTACAGTATTTAGTTTTCTCAAATAGCCGATACATTCTTTCAGACTAGGTACACATGATTATTGGTACAGTGAACTGGCCACAAGGTAGTATTTTGTAATTAGTCTGCCCGAATATGAATGCTATCCTTACCCACGTTTCAGCTCTATAGATTTCTCTAGATTTCCACTGCCAATAACGCTTTGTTTTTAAAGAGGTGAAGCTATCTGTATTGCACTGCATTCTGATGAGGCAGCTTTCTCAATGTCTTTCACCTGAACATTTCATAGGTTGACCAAATGTGAAGAAAGTGTTCTGTTCACAATAGTTTTCCCTCCACGCTTTACTCTGCAGTCTTGAGTTTATGCTCTTCAGCAAATAAGTAATGAACTATGATAGGAGAACATACAAGAAATGTTTTTTAGGCCTTCTTAACGGTCAGTCATGCTAGGCAATTTGTGATTATCTGCATCACGCAAGTTTTTGTTCAGGTCGGCTAGAGGTACAGGCTGCTTCTGTGTTTACATGAAACAGACTTATCCAGTTCAGTAGGGGTTCAGGTATGCTTGTTACTTTTAGACTGTAGGCATACTCACAGTGACAAGTTGCTACATGTGATATATGCTAGGCAGGCTCTGTCTACAACTGCGATTGTTGTCTGAAGCCACGGAGCATTGATGATGTGACATTGTCCAGTGTTTCACTTTGTATTGTTACAGATCGAGCTGTCTGTAAGAGACTCGGGGAACTGTTTACTCACTTGAAATTTTTATTGGTGCTATTACAGCAAAACCAAACACTCGGAAAAGCTTCACGCTGTGCTGAATATCTGTAGCACCTTACTTCCTTATTAGCAGCAAGTTTTATAAAAAGTCATTGTGAGTGCCCGTATTTACAATACTTGCTAATGCTGTCTGCTGCCATCAAAAAAGGCACTATTCTAAACAATACTTGTTTGTGGTTAGTCACAAGATTGGAACATGTTTGAGCTGTCTGTCACTGGCTTGCAACTATACAGTGTCGGAACCTTTCAAGTTATGTCATGTGACTGAGCTGTGTGGATACGTTAAGAAATTTCTGCAACACTGACCCATGAATGCATGCTGATTTCTACTTCTACAGGTACAACATCATACCAATCCTGGCTGATATTCTCAGCGAATCGGGAAAAGAGAAAGTGGCAAGGATCATCCTGGCAACATTCAGGGTTTGGAAACCTTTTATATGTAATCTATCAAGAGTGTCTCCACAATTCGTGTCGAACCTTTTCTTCGGACACTTCGAGTTGTGTATCTCGGCTCTGACTCTCCTGACAGCGTTTTTGATATTTTAAATGATGAGAGTTTAATCTCTTGCACAGTCATAGACGATTCAATGAAACATGGTCTGCGAAGTAGAATAGGTTTTTTCGTAACTTGAGGGCACTATTGGGGCAATAATGTGGATGCCGAAGATGTTTATGCCTCATATTAAGCCTAGAAGCTGAAATCATTGACATTTGCTTAAAAAAAAAAAAAGAGGTGCAATAAAGGCATCGTCAAAAAACAGCGGAAAAAGCTGATAAGTTTAATGTAGGCTTGTGGGAATAGTGAATTTCAGGTTCGAATAGATTTCAAAGCGTACAGTGGCTGATTGAATTATTTTTAATTGGATTCAAATAGTATAAATTGTGTAATATAAAGAAAAATGGGCATAATTTACATGACTCAACTACCCTGCTCAATGTATTTTGTTTAATTTAAACAAGGCGTGTGCAAATGTTATTCTTTTTTGGTACTAAGGAAGTGGAAACAACTTTAAATAGTAGCAGGATTTAACTTTCGGTAGAATGCCAGTGATAACCAGTGAAATATGTTACTTTTTAAAATTTACTATACTTAGAGCATATAAGCCGGTGTAACAAGCTTTTAAACATCGAAAATAACGAATTGATGTGACGGTAATATGTTCATCTAACCTTCAAGTTGGGCTTCGCGGCAGTGCAAGTTTTTTTTTTTTTTTTGGACAGGTGTTTTTATGGTTTAGCACTCCTTTATAGCAGCCAAGCTGTCTTTACTGGGGGTTACATGCAGACTGCTATACATTTATTAATTCATTTCGAATACTTCAAAATTTTCAAGAATTTCAATTCAAAGCATTCGAATTCTCACAAAAGTGTTTAGAGAGGACACTGCACATAAAACTTGCTCAGTTTATGTATATTTGCATGCTGATTTTAAATATGCAATTATTTTCTTAGTGCTACTTGTTTTTAAAATATAATTCATTTTATGTGCCAGTTTGGGAGCCCTATTTTTTATACACTGAGATGCTTTACAAATTAAATAAGCACATCAGAATGACCTGGCATGAGTGCAGAATGCAAGAAAGCAAGAATGGATGCCCCAAACTTATTCAAACAAAAGTTATGGTATGACGAATGCATGGGACTGAAATCTCAATAATATCGCTAGTGAATGTTTGACATTATAATTTTTTTTTTCCAGATAGGTTTAAAACATAAATTATTTTTTTCTTATGTTCAGGACTCGTGCTAGGTCATTTGAATTGTCTTATTTACTTTGTAATTCTGTCAGTTGATGCAAGCTGAAGCTCTCAAAAATCATTTAAAATGTTTGATATTTTAGAAACTACATGTTATCCCAGAAAAGTAATTGAATATTCGAAAACTGCACACAAATATTTGTAAACTCAAAAATTTTTCCCTCAATTGATAAAGAATATTAAAATTTTTTCTGAACCCATGCCTCAACTTTAAAAAATGCACGAGTGTCTTTTTGTTGCAAGTGTGACAGTGCATCTACTAGCACCAATGTGGACTGAATTGTCAGCATAGTCTTCATGCTTGTGCCCATCTGTTTCAATGAGCAAGCCACACGTTTTCTTCTTATTATTATTGAGCGGCTTTGTCAATACATTACATGCATTGGTGGAAGCAAGAGCGGAAGAATGCGTTTTAGCCATCCCTAATTTGTTTACGTTTGAATGGTTTACATTTGAATGGTGTTTACGTTTGAAAGAAGGTGTTTAACGTGAACAGTGTCACATGTGCCAATAGAATGTACATGACTAGTTGGTAGTAAGGGTGGGCTAAAGTACTCAACGCTGCCAGTGTGCAAAAAGAAAAATACCTGCCTTGAAATTTTTTACGCTATATTTTTATGTCAACCATCTGTCTAAGCTGTCTGATAATCTGGGTTCGCTCGTTATTGTGTTTTTTTTTCTGAATTTCTCCTGGTCATTGGAATGTGCAGAACCTGATCGAGAAGCCTGATGAGAATGAGATCAAGCGGGACAATGCCATCGCCATGGTGCAATGCAAGGTCTCAAGACAGCTTGAGATACTTCAGGGCAAGAAATTTGCCGACCCTGACATTGTGGAGGACATTGAGTACCTGGAGGAGAAGCTCAACACCAGTGTACAGGACATGAGGTATGGACAGTTGGCACCTCATGCAGGCACCCTTATTTTGTGCCAGAAAGCTGGCCCTTTATCTAGTTCCATCTGAAGAGACCTGGCCTCTTAGAGGACTTCTGTCAGAGTAGCTCGTCAGGAAGTAAAACTTGGGCAACAGGGATTGTGCACAGTACGAGGCAGTGGCAACTCTCTGCATCACAATTTTATCTTTAATGTAGTCATCTAATTATCACAAAGCTATCATCATGAACAATGTGCCATGTTGGGTAAATATCATTACTACAGCAAAACAAATGTGCTGCATACAATTCTTCATGTTGCAAAGTTGAAGAACAGTTTCACTCAAATAATCAAGCTTAATTCTGTCTTCCCAATTTCGAGATGTTGCTCACACTTTGGAGTGACCGGTATCTTTCACGCTGTCTGTGTTGTGGCAATTTTCTGTTCCTTTCCCGCTTGTAGTTCCTTCGACGAGTATGCCACTGAGATAAAATCTGGTCGTCTCGAGTGGGGCCCTGTTCACAGCTCGGAGAAGTTCTGGCGGGAGAATGCAGACAAGCTCAACGAGAAGAACTATGAGCTGCTCAAGTGAGTAAGACACTATGGAAGCTGGTAGCTTGGTCATTCCACGGTTGAATCAATAGCTTGGTTGTATTTGTCACGAAGTTAATGGGATGGCATTGTACAATTTCGCTGCATGCACTGTTGCTGTTATCTCATGATCTCTGGCCTTTGAGCTACTATCATTGCATAAAATACTGGTTGCTCATCAAAGCCCACTGGAAGAAATTTCCTACTTGTAAAGCCACCTTCGTTTATTGCATAATTACAAGGCATTGTAGAACTGTATGCACTCACGATTAATCATACTCTGTTAAAACTCAATTCTTGTGTGGGTATGCCTAAAAATGCTTCCTTCTAGTAACGTAACAGCAGCTCACATCGGCTCAAACTCTTTAAAATATTTATAAGGTCAATTTCTCTGTCAGTCACACTTACAGTAGTGATTTTATTATCTCAAATTTTTTGGTGAAAAATCTTCAGGCCCCTCATTCTCTATTTCTTTATTTTATGCAAGATCCTTCTTTGGCCACTATTTTTACACTCGAGAAGGACTGCTGTAAGATGTGATCGCTGTGTTGACTTTGAGAACGAAACACGAAATTATAGGGGAATATATTAGGCTAACTGTGAGGGCGTGCTTTCTGTTTTTCACAACAGGATCTTGGTGCGCCTGTTGGAGACCAGCAGAGATCCCCTTGTCCTGAGTGTCGCTGCCCATGACGTTGGAGAGTATGTCCGTTACTATCCACGAGGAAAACAGTTGAGTGTGGCTTCACCTTTCTGGTCTCACTGAATTATTCACAACTGCGACTCCCACTGGTGACACGACCATTTCTGACTGTAGACCAAAGAGGGACTCAAGGCGGCCCTTGTTCACACCTGCGTGCAACTTATATTCGTCGCCACACACAGTCGCATCTGCTAGCATGTAGCCCGCGTTGCATCTGCCCCATAAAATAAGCTGATGTTCAGTTCCTGCGCATTTCGTTGGTTCAGAGCTTTGCAACTGCAGTCTTGAAACTGACAATATGAGCCGAAAGTGATGAAGGCGACGCAGTCACTTTGCAACCAAAGCAGCAATTTACGACCACTCGCTTTGCAACTAACTTGGTCGTACCACTGTTGTGAACGAGCCTTAACCGTTCTTTGTTATTTCAAGCTATCTTATGGCTGAAGGAGTGTAGCTGTGCATATACACTTACGTTCTTATTCGTCAGCTGAGTGAGCAGCTCTGCAGAATTTGAAGCTGCTCGCTCAAATGTAACTTGTATATATTTCCCGATTTTCGCTGCCTGAAATCGGCCCTCGCAATACAATCAAATACTAAATTTATGTTATCTAAAAAGTGCAATGATGCACGCAAGTGTCTTATTTTTTTTATCTTTTGCTTCCTAGAAGTTGCCCTCTGCTTCACAATGGTGGTCACGTTACAATCGAGTGAGCATAGTAGTTGAAGATGTCTAATGCAAAAAATATAAAACTGGTCCCCTGCATCTGTAATCGCCAAAAGTTAGAGCTGTGCAAATAATAAATTATCAGCTGCTTAGTGAATTTGAATATGAAAGTGCAAGTGCGAATCGAATAGAATATTTTTTCAATATTTCTTGATCTCCAGAATATTTTTCGATTAGTTCTAAGTAAAATTACGGGGTAAAGTTGTAGAGGATTTCTAAGCCAGTGTTTCTTTTTGATAGGTTGATGAGTCACTGGCGGAGTGGTATTTAATAATTGCCTTATGAAGAACGGGGTAATGCAGAGGCTGTATTGTTATAATGCACGATTTGGTGCCACGAAAGTGTTGCCGACAACACTTTACACGTGAAAGATAAAGATGCTATTTCCTCAGCCTCTCCTCCTTTTTCAGCTTTCTGTGGAAGCCCAGCTGAGGTGGCTGACAAGGGTTAGGAGATCCGAATCTGCCTTGTAGATTTCAACATACAAGAAAATTCGAAATTAGGGATGTTAAAAACCTCCGGCACCTGATTTTCCAGAATTTCTGCCAAAATTGCAGATTCAAAACAACAATAATTGAGCTTTCACCTTTGCCTCATCTGTCACCTACATGTTGGAACCAGCAATTTCTTGAGTCGATACATTCGCGACCGTAGCGGAGCTTGAAAGAAAGCTCAACTGCAATAGGAAGTGTGATGAGATGAAGTATTTGAAAAAGTTGAGGGTGCCATTTTTAGTTGGACACTGACTATTTTCCCTTGAGTAGTTCGATCGTAGTGGAGCCTAAAAGGCAGCTTTGCCGGAATGCGAGAATGTAATGAAGTGAACTATGTTAAAATTTGAAGGGTTCACTTTTAATTGAACATTGACTTTGGGAAGTTCAAATTGTAAAACTTCCAGTGCGATTTGAATCAAATAGCAAACACTATTAGAGAAATATTCGAAATTTCGAATATTTGCACACCCCTACTATAAATGTTTTATTTAAAGTGTGCACTATTTCTGGAGATAAATTTATGGCATATACATTTTTCAATATTTTGCTTTCAGTGTCATTGAGAAACTAGGTGGCAAGCATCTCGTTATGCAGCTGCTAGGCCATGAGGACCCCAATGTGCGGTACGAGGCTCTGCTCTGTGTCCAGAAGATCATGGTGCACAACTGGTAAGGCCAAGTGGCAAAGATTTACGTTGTTGACGGAGTTGTTTGTGGAGCCACTGCTTCTCACTTCTTTTGAAAAATATTGCATGTTAACATTTACTAAATGTTGATTGAAACAAAGTTGTGATGTGCCATGGACAAAGATTGCATTAATTAAATTTTGGGAAACACTTTGTAAATATTATGGTGGGCTTTATAATATGTGTGCTGCTGCTGTTGAAGATTATACTCATATTCAAAAAGCATATCAGAAGTTTATAGGCAACCTGATGGACAATATAGATAATGAAGTGGGTGATGACGCACTAATGCCAGATGATAAATAAAGAAAACACAAGTATGGACGGTTTTGCTTGCATAACCTTGGGTAATTTGACTGAAAGGTTGAAGAATTGTCAATGGGTCTATTTGTAGCAGTAGTTGGTGATGCAGCACAAAACGTTACAAGCATCTTGAAATGCAGGTCTTTACATGCTGATTTAGACAGCGCTGAAAAAAAAGTGACAAATGGTGTACCATCCCGAAGGTCAAACTTGCCGGAGCGATGCAAAATGTGGGAAATTTACTGCATTAACATCCAACGTAAACTACAAGTGCCACCCACTAATATTGATATGCTTTCTGAAAAAGAAAAAAAAAAGCACCTTTAAGTTTTGAAACTGCCACAACATTCCTAGAGTTACAATGATTTGGCTGTGAAACACAGCCTGCTAAGTTAGCCTTTCATTTCGACCCCTTGAAAAAAGATTGATACTGAAAAACTGTGAATGAGAGGGAACACGCTCATGTATGGCAAATAGCCTCGAACCCCCATTCGATTGACACTTACATGGCACTCTTAACAAGGTGGAAAGGGCAACAGTTGAAAAATTGTAGCGCCTGTCGCATTGCGATCACGATGCGTTTCGCTGCACACAGACACAGATATTGACACATGCACACCCACACGAACCAATGAGTGGATGAACAGTTAAACATTAATTACCACACTCTGCATTGTTTTCCTGCCCTGTCACCACGAGCGGCCGGTCAGCTGCAATCAGCTGCGATTTCGTATCGGCACTACCGAATCGAGAGTGCCCATGTTTAGGGGCTCGTGGGGCCCGTTCCATACTGTTTCCGTCGGCCAGCGCCAAACACCGTGATTGAGACTATATGCCACTATAGTTCACGCATTTGGTACCTCCGAAAGAGCAAGACCAGTCAAAGCAAGTTTAAAATTTCTCTTATGTGTCCACAGTTCACCACTGCTAAGAAATTCAAGTTTGCATGTTCACTGACCACCTATTTTTGTTTTAGTCTGTTTACCTAATCTGTTCACTTTTCTTTTGACTTTTTCAGGGAGTACCTTGGAAAACAACTGGAGAAAGAAACTAGCACCTCAAGGCCAGCTCAAGGCCCAACCAGATCATAACTTTCGTCTGGGCATGTCACCTTGCTTCTTTAGCCTCAGGAAGGGATGTGTAATAAATCTGTGTATTTATTTAACCAAAGGGCACTTAAGCTATCAGCATTCCTTAAGCTTAACAGATTTTTTTTTTTATAATTCCGGCTGCTCCATGCACACAGTGCAGCAAGAGCAACATTCCATAAAGAACTGCCATTACATAAGTACTTGCTGAAGACAAGTGAAAATGTTCTTCCTAGTCTGAAAATGTGAATATCGTTCAATGCTGACATATTCTACTGTGTGCAGAGCGTTTTTCTGGGTGCATCTTGCTGACGATCTAACCCAGAATCATCCACGTACTTAACTGTTTAGCACGGTTTGTTTGTCCCAGCATTGTATAAAAGCCGCTGAGAACACGTGTAGCAATAAAGATGTTTGTGAGCACGAATTGCGTCTTTTACTTGAAAGCATCCTGGTACACAACGTGAAATAAATACTGAATGAAAAACTTCTAACAGTGCATACGCGTTTCTCCTCTACTTTGGCATGGTCACATTGACATCCTCGTCTGTCTCGACGCCAGTTTCTTCAAGGAGTGCTTTTTTCCCTTTCGGGTAGCCTTCGAGAATGGCATCGATGATGTCGGTCGCCAAGCGCTTTCTCTTTCGCCATTCCTTGACGAACTTCTCGTTGTCCTTGAGGATGCGGTCCTTAACTTGTGGCTCGACGAAGTTGGTGTTGGAGGTAAGTTTATCGAGTCTCGCTCTCAACCTGTCCCGTTCCGCGGAAGTGGTCTCGATCTTTTCGGCGAGTTCCTCCGTCGTCAAGCTGTGGCTCAGCGCGTTCAGCTGCGATTCTCGAGCCTGCAGCTGTCGCGCAAGTTCTTCCTTTTTGGTGTTAAGGTCTGCGATCTCTTGGTCCATGGCTGACAGCTCGGCCTCGGCCACGTCGGGAAATTCATCCTGGTTGGCGAAGTATATCTTCTGCTTTCCGTAGGTCTTCTCTTTGATCTTCTCGTCCTGGGCGAGTTGCTCGAGCGCACGCACTACGGCCGTCTTTCCGTGCTCCTTGTGGAGGTTGTTGAAGATGTCGTTGGAGCTGTAGGGTCGGTTTTGAGCCTTGATGTAGTCGAGAATCGCTTTTTCGACCGCCGCTTCTTTGGACTTGCTCATTTTGAGCGACAGGCAACGCGAAACTGACCGAAACGTAGCGTACCTGGCAGCCGTCCGATGCCGTTCGTATTCACGGGCGGGTCAGCCGATTTTGACGCCGGGAATCTCGAAACTGCGAAGGAAACGATTCACAGGCGCAGGATTTGCGTGCACGTGCAGACACTACTCTTGGGAGAAGTCCACAAAGCACATACTCAAGCGCTAGAACTTTCGAAAGGCGCGAAAACATGCGCCAACAGGCTACCGGAAGTCGCAGCTGGCCACAGTCGCGTAGTTTACCGTAGTTTCACAACGACAACTCAGATGGCAGCACCATGCAGCTGGCGGCGCTCTAGCGCGCTTTCAGAATCTAACAACTTTTCGTACAATTATGTGCGTAGGTCGTCACGTAACTGAATTAAAAGGCCTCCAAAATTTTTAGCGTGACAGGAAGATTTTTTTGGAGGCGGCGAAATAACTGTGCGTGCGGGTCACCGGCTGTCATTACCCGGCTTGCTGACGTTACATACCTTGAGGGGGAGCAGAATAAAACGCTCGCTAGTTTCCCCCTCCTCGCTTACCTGTTGGCCTGCCTGGATTTTCACGGCAGGTGTTGTGAGGCCCAGTTTGTGTTTGATGGGTGTGTCAGTGGCCGGGACTGTGGGAACATGAGTTCATGTGTTCAACAAGCGTTGCTCTAGCCTCCGGCCTACGGAAAGTGCATATTTCATGGGATTACTCTGCGGCCGCTTATTGGAACTCCGGATTGCGCTGCACCATCGGTAAGTGATAGACAATGGTCCGAACAGGAATGTTTGCCGGCTCTTCTAGGCTTAATTGACAGTTAAGTCGGCGAGATCGCCAACTTTACGCCGTGTTCCTGGGGGTGTCTCGCGTCGGGTTTAACCGCGCGATCGATTTCTACACGACGATCCACAGGTGTTCCGTTCGCAGCATTGTTCGTGCGAAAAGAGCCCGTGTGGCGTGGCTGACGACTTAGGTGTTTCGCTAATTTTCTGGGGCGCGGAAAAGAAAAAAAAAAGAATACATGCTCGTCGCGGTAGCTGCGAAAAGTGCCGGTAGCATAAAATAGCGCTTCAGCAGTTTTAAGCTGCTGTACGTACCGCGCGGTCGTTTTGACTTCGTGCTTTGGATGCACTGTCCCCAGTTGCGATTTTCAACTGCGTTTTCCAACGCAAGCTTTGCCAGCGAAAAGGTCGTTTCGGATGTCTTGTCGGCGATACAGCCTCGCTTTTCGTTTTCTTAGGGATTATTTCTCGCTCTTTATTTTTTACATCTTCGCATGCCTCCACCACAGTAGTCTATAAGCTTATTTAAGTAAGTAGCTCCCATAAATTGTTTTTTGTTGCTGCGTTTGAAATGGTTTGACGTTCGTATGCGTACCTGACAAGTTGAGATTGTTGTGTTCTCACGGGCAACTGTAGCTCACTGCGCCTTAAAACAAAACAAAAAAAAAATGCCGCAGGTAGCCAACCAGCAGGGTTTAACGTACTACAGGCTACCGTGACTGGCTACCGCGCGTGATTTTGAAGTAGCGAGCATCGTGCGGAGAGTTTTCTAAAATCGCGTGGCGCCGTTTATTACGCTTCGGATCGTTCCGTGTCGCCTACGAGATGAGCATGCGAAACAACTGTGTTCGTTGCCTCATAGTACGAGCTGCTGTAAGGAGCTGCCGCTGCAGAAATCGCAGCGCGGAGGACGGAAGGTCGCTCCGAAGTGGCGGTATGCGAGGCCATGCAACTTCGCGGCCACGTATCTCGCCGGCGGCGCCTCAAAATCGTCCGTCTCGGCCGCTTTATTATTTTCTGCCTCTGTACTCTTCGCCGTCCGTGCAAAGGCCAGCTTCCTCCTCGTTTTTTGCAGTCCCAGAGATGCGATTGCTTCCTTATTTGGCTCACGCGGTATGTTACCCAGCTCCGCAACGCATGCATGTATGTTAGTACGAATACCGGTTGTCGCCATCGAATATCGTTTGGGAAGCCATTTGCGGCGAGGAACGCACGCTTTCGAAAGCGTCTGCTCTTGTGCCAGAAACGACGTCCCGTGCCTCGGTACTGGCACTGTTCACGAATTGAACCGTGGATGTATGGTTTGGCCAAAATAAACTACAATAGAGGGATTATTTCTCGCTTTTTTTTTTTACATCTTCACACGCCACCACCACACTAGTCTATCAGCTTATTTAAATAAGTAGCCCCCCATCAAATCTTTCTGTTGCTGCGTTTGAAATGGTTTGACGTTCGTATGCGCACCTGACAAGAGTGGTCATAAGCACGGCTCAGATGTGGCTCTCATTGAAGGCGACCAATCGACGGAAAGATCTGTGCACGTCTTCTTTTCTTTTTTTTCAGTTCATCCGCCATATGCCATAAGGTCTTACTAGATTTCAATTCACTCAGTCTGCGATACGAGTACTGGCCACAGTGGACGATGACTACAGAATTCTTCCAAAATGCTGACTGGCCCATCCGACATTGGACACCGGTGTGATCATGCTCCCCTTTAAAACGAACTCTCACATTATGACGCTCTTCATATAATGAAGTTTAAAGTTTGACGGAAGCCCGTCAAACTTTAAACGGTGGTTTTCATATAATGTATGTGTACCAAGAAATACCGTGCTCGTAACTTTGATCCAAGTGGAAGAATTTGATCCAAGCTTTTCAGATGACTCAAATAACTTGTAACTCACTGTACGAAAAAAAAAAAAAAACTGCACGAGAAACACGAGGACTAGAAAGAAACAGACGCAAACTATCAACTAAATTTTACTTGAAAATTGTACTTATACATCAAAAACAACCCCCCATTTCGCCATCACGACGCACCAAGTCCCTACCGCTACAAAAAGAAAATTCCTTTTTCTGTTTTTGTACGCCTTTTTTCATCAGTATGTTAAATCGAGCTCCTTCAGCTTGTAAACATTTTTAACAGGACGAAATTCGATATTGATCAAGCGCTTTGGAACGGTGGTTTTCGAGTACGCTTGGTTATGCATGATAACTATCCATCTAGAAGGATGTTATGCTTCTTCTAAGCAAGCGCCTAACTCCTGCGGTGTTTCGCTCGTAAGGTCTCTTTGCCAGTGGCTATGGCTGACTTCGCTATAGCGATATCCAGAACCATGCCTCATTCGCTAAACGTATGATTCTAGCGGACGTAAACGCGTATTTGCGAATGCGAGCTCATATCTACCCGGATAACCAACGCAATGAACAAGCGTCTGTTTTGCTGTGATCTCCTGAAACTTGCGCATAATTGGAATGATGTTTGTGAAATTCGTGGCGGCGGTTGTTGCATGCTGTGTCAGCTTCGCGGTTCGTAGGAGTCATTCATATCGAGAGTCCGATGTATACGTCTCATAAGCGGGCGGCCTACAGTTACCTTATGCCAGGAATAAAAAAATGGTGCGTTTACACGAGGGTGTTCGAATTAACACCCTTTAGCGCGGTTCTTTTTTGCAGTAAGCTGGCGAATCAAGGCTAGCTGCCTTACGTCGTGATGGGATGGCGAAGCGGACCTAATTGAACAGCTGCTCGGACGGAATCAACGCTGAAGGAAAAAGCGTTAAAACTTCCAACTCGCCTTTTATTTTGGAGTCGCGCTTTTACCCGGAGCGTAAGGTGTGGTGATATGCCCTGACGTGACTTTTGCACCGTTTCTCTTCAAAGCGGCGTATTGAAAAAGGAAACCTTAAAAAAAAAAAATTGTTATCTTAAGATATTTGCCGATTCAATTTTGTGCCGCTCAGCGTTGTCCTTGTATAGGGTCCCCTCATTCTCTTGCGTAAGTACAACAAAGAACGAAACGAAAAAAAAAAGAGAAAAGTGTCTGCATTTAGCGAAGCCGCTCACTGTCCTGCCTATGTGACGTATCGTTCTACGGCTTCCTCTCACTTACGGAAGTTTGTTGTTGGGCGCTTGCCTGCCAGGCGGCCAGTTCTAGGGTGCGAGAACCTTGGCGCCATAGCGTTTGTTTTCACTGCGCATGCGTCGTACGTTAAACCTTATGGCGGAAACAGTGCTAAATACGGGATGTGACCTCTGCATAAAACTTTAGCAAGGATCGGCGGAATGGTCCTTGCATCTGCCGTAAGAGCCCACCTGTAAGAACCCTTATTATTGGTACCCACGTCGTGTTTCGTAAATAGCGCAAAGCGAAACCCCATTGTAAACTGCGGTGTGCCGTTGCACTATTCCTCACTGTGCTAGATCGACAGAGTTAAATTTTAAGTACAAAGAAAACAATTTCCTTCATTTCTACGTCCTCCGCTATACGTCTCTCAGACGAGGCTGTTCTTTGCACGGTCTGCCAAGGCGGAAGAAAAGAAAGGAATGCATTGGCACATGGTCGATCCAGAAGTGCTGGTCGTCCGGGAAGGCTATTGGTGCCTATTATGGTATAGGAACTTTCCCGCTTTGACAATTCACTTCGTTGCGGCGCTTGCTCAAAGGGGACGCGCTGGCCGTTTATACGCACACACGAGGAGCGAAAAACAAAGAGTCGGGCGCCGCGCGATAGCGAATGCGTATAGCCCAGTTCGCACGTATATGTGTGCGGATACTCTTATTCTGGTTCCTCGTGGGTGTGCGCCGCGACTGACGGCATTTTAAGAAGCGGAACGCTGGTGCTACGCTCAATCGTTCTTTGTACTCGAGTACGCACCGCGCAGCGGGCCTGTAATGTGCTAGTTTCGGGCCCACATGTGAACGGGTCCGCAAAGCGTTTCCGTCGCGCGGTTGTTGTTCCGTCGGAAGCGATAACGCCGTCTGTGCAGCTCGCGTGGAACAATGAAACCATTCCGTCTGGCTGACTTAGGCGCGCCAGTTGCTAGCGCATTCCTGGCTGCTGCTGCTGCCGACTTTCATCGCTCATGCATTAGTGACGGCGAGAGCGTTCGTCGAATTGCCCGCGTTATAGTCGGCGCGTTGCAGGGGCTTCTGTCGCGGGCGCTGACTCTCTCTCTCTCTCTCGTGCCTAAATAGTTGGCAAAGAAGGAAGCTAGACGTTGACTCGCGTTAATTTAACTGCGATAGGGGTGAACGAGTGATATCGAGTTTGCAGAATGTTCGACGTTTTTGTGGCAATGGCGTAAATCGAGAAAAATCGCGAGTGGGGACGTAATTTAGTCCGTGGCGGCAATACTTTTTAGTGCGGGTTGTATATTTAATACATAAGAATTAAATCACGATTTGAAATGGAACTTATAAGTCGGGCACGGTGACCGAGCTCGAACAATTGTATTGTTTTATTCACTCTTCTTTAAACAGTTCGAGCGGCTTTTGCGATTTCCATAGTCTCACGCAGCTATGCGATATACACAGGTGCACACTAAAAAATAATGAGCCTTCGAAAATACGTGAACGCGTTAACTGTCAATTAACTCATATTTAAAACGTTCTGAAACTGATATTCAAGGGGGGACACCTCCAAGGAGTGTCCTCCCTTGAAATTTAGTTTTAGAACGTTATATATATATATATATATATATATATATATATATATATATATATATATATATATATATATATATATATATATATATATATATATATGTATATATATATATGTATATATCATAATCACCGGACACCAAAAAGTGCCCCCCTCCCCCGGGTCCGGACCCCCCAAACCCTGCTATGATTTACGCCGATAGTTGGAATTGATTATTCTTCGGCGCTGCGGTACTTGCTGCCTCTTTTTGTGCCCCGGTTTTCGGGCGCTGCCTATTTCAATATTCATGAACTGGGTGTGTGATGCC